CCACTTCCAGCACAGGAACCATGAAAAGGCATGCCCCATCTTCAGTGCTGCCCAGGCACAGGAGCAACCTTTGGCACCATGCAAGACTTCCAAGCGTTGCTCCCCGCCTTTTCCTAACTAACTCCTTCAAATAAGGCTTCATCATCTACCTCATGGGATCTCAGCCTTCCAATAAAGACAAATGTCAGCATCTTCCTCCTTACTGTGGTTAAAGAGAAGGGGAAACTTACAAACAGAAAATGTCAAGACTGTGTCACTAGCACTCATGGACAGTAATGGATTTAAAAAATCAGCATGATTGTATTACCCAGGATATACTATTGCAGTTTAAAATATTCCATGTAAATGTGATTCTTCAGGAGAATAACATTTTTGTTGCATTTTCAAAAGAAGCGCATTTTATGGTTGACCAGTATATATATTTTCTTCCAGCTGACAGCATGAGGAATTCCATTGCACCCGATAAAATTCACCATTTGAAAAGCTTAAACCAGTCTTCTTGCTTTAGACTAAGATGTACACATTCTCTATGCAAAATACAACTTTCAGAAAACACTTTTTTTTGCCTGGTACTGGGAAGAAGTGTTTTTATAGGGCTCCTGGTGCCAAAGAAAATTTATGAGCTCCTGCAGAAAGGTGAGACGATAAGGGCTGCTTCTGAGGTAATAAAAGAACATTTTATAGCCTATTCTTTGACATGCTGTAAACTTTTATCCCATACCACAGAATTTGACAAGGCAGAAAAAAATTCCATGTTTTGCTGTCTATAGATAGTGTGTACTTTTCTACCACTTAAACCCACCAAGATACAAAACCCACACGTACCTATTTCAAAACAAACTGTGTAAGTATTCTGGCCACCAGCCAGGCTACTAAAGTGAGCTATCGCCAGCAAAAATGAACAGGACTGAGCAATTATTTTTCCTTCAGTTGTGCTCCTGAAAGTGAGGAGAGATGTAAAGTTATGCTGCAGCTATTCTAGGCCTTTCAAAGAGCTAAGGAATACTTCCAAATCTGAAGTAAATATAATCCAAGGCTCTCCTGTTGGTTCCTATCTGCTCCAATGCTAGGCAGAAAAGAAAGAATAAATTTGGAGCAAATTTTCTTGTATTAGCAAAGAAATCTACTAAACACAGCAAGATCTTTTTTTATTATTATTATTTACTCTACCCATCTATCGATCCATTTATCGATTTCCTATCCTGTCTGCCACCCCCACTCTTCCCTTTGATCTCGTGTCAAGGACAGTTCTGGCTGTCAAGGCAGGAAGAGTTGGTCACTTTAAACAAGACAGGCATTAAAAAAGAGAGTCCTTTCGCAATTCTTGACTTGGTACCAACGTTAAGAAAATAATACTTAATTTCAAGGAGAGAGTGGAAAAGGAGAAAAACAGGAAGATTGTAGCTCTGAAGTATTCTGCAAGATAAAACCAGAATGGTTCCAATGAAAGCTTTAGCACCACAAAAAGCTTTCACATTTTTTCATACATTGATGTAAACCACAGAAGTAAAAATATTTGACATATGGATTAGCTAAGCACGACATTTTTATTAATGCAATGAATAAAATTACCTTCCTAGTGTCCTCTGACGCTAAAATTTCCTGTCATGCAGAATTGCCAACTTCTTTAAACTCACAAAAATTGAGAAAAATTTGGTGTGCATTTCAAATGTGACACCATCAAAAAGAAAAGAAAAAGCCATCACGGAACAAATACACAACAGCTGGCAAGCAAAATATATTAAATATCTCAATAACCAACTGTTAGTGATAATGTCTGAACAAGTCAACTCTTTTAATTTCACTCTTTAAATTTTTTTTGTATTTTACCTTTCTTCACAGTTTCCTTCTACCAGCTCATGTAAAATAAATCATTAGCATCACCAACAATAGAACTTAAGTCTGGATTAAGCAGTTACCTGTGTCATTACATATACAGACACACACTCATATATCTGTGCTCTCTGATGTACCTGTTCCACTATTTGATCAACAGAGCCACTGTTACGCTGACCTTGTGCTTCAGAACAATAGTTGCAAAGTGTTCTTGAAGGTAAAAAGGCTACAGGCTTTGTTTTCCAGCTAGAAGACACTGAGCAAAGAGTTTCTTAATAAATGTTGTTACATGCCGTCTTGGATGAGAAATTTTACTAGACACAGAAGCAAAAAGGCTTGAATATGGCTTACATGGTGAAAAGAAACAAGAGATTAGAAAAAGTTCCCAGATTTCTTGATTTCTATTAGCACCAACCTACAGTGAAGGCTCCCAGTAATAAGAATTTTTCTTGGATAGGAGTTTAGTGATCTCGTGACCACCCACAGCACCTGTAACAAGGGAGGAGGGTCCAAAATTTGGGAAGAAGAAGGGGTTTAACCCAGAACTCCTGCAGACGTATGTTAAATGCACACGTGATTTTATGGGTTTGATGACATCCAGCAGTTTGCTTCCTAAAGCAAAAGGTAGCTGCTTTTCATTTGGTTTAGATGATGATGATGGTGGGACAGCAATCACCAATTTCCGACTCTGGTCTCTAATCTATATGATCTACTAAAGCAATACTGGATGGAAATTGCCTTCCTTTAGCTACTTTTCACTTCAAAGCAGTCCTACAAATCCAGTTTTTGAACTGTGTCTGATCCAGAACCACTTATTGCAGTGGATTTCAGTGCAGAGATTCACTGACCTGGAAGTGAAATCACCTTTCTGTGCCTGGTCCTTCACTGTCCTTTTCTCATCTCAATATATTCAATTGATAAAAGATAAGTTCTGGAAAACCTTTCCTTTCTTTGTGTGAAAAGAGGAAAGACTGCCGTAAGAGTATCTTAGGTGTAGCAGCAGGTCAGCTGTCAATTGTGTATAGATGTAATCTGCAAGGCTTAGTAGCAACAAGAGGTCACAACACAGCTGGGCAGAGTAACATCTCTTCTTCCCAGCACTTCATGATGCAACAGCAGAGGGTGTTGCAGATCAGGTCTAAGGTGCTCTTAGGAGAATTTCTTGCACAGCACTTGGATTTTTTTATTTTTCCTGGCTGATTCTGTTAAGTTTTTCCTAAGCTTTAGCACCAACTCAGAAATAAACTAAAAATAATGAAAAAAGCCCCAAACATACACATGTATGAAAAGAGGAGAGAGTTAACACAAGGGAACTGTTTCCTTTCTATTTTTCTTTGTCAATAAGTGAATGGGAAAAGTAAAATAGAAGTTTAATCTGCAGGGGGAATACTGAAGAGGTGAATCTTCAGACATGACACACCACCAGTCTTACATGCAACTCCCAAAGCAAATCACTGTCTGGAAATAGGGGGTCAAATTTCCCCCAGACACTGGAATAAACATGGAGAAGAGAAAGATTATCCAGCATTTAATGATTCCAGGAGATTGCTTATTTCACATAAAATCAAGACCCTGCATGCTGTCTGTTAGCTTCCCCTATTGTAAGAGAAGTGAGAATCTATGGTGCACAGAACAGCTGAGGAAGTCCCGTAGAGTCCCAAGGAAAAGTCTGCTCACTGCAAAGAGAGCATCCTTTTATTGATCCCCTGCTTCCCTCTTGTCTAACACGCCCATGGGAAAACCTTGGGCTCTGAGTTGTGTAAATCTTTAGGAAAACTTCCACATACTACAAACATAAGCCTTTTTCATTTTAATTTACAAAAAAAGAAAGAGAAATAACTGATCCAAACCTGGGCACTGTTCTCATGTCAATGCCATACCATGCTCTTCTTATGTCATTGTTGAACAAAACAGCTCTATGGCTGTGTACAGCTCCAGAACAAAGTAACACACACACCTTATAAATAGCTGCCTTAACTGCTTTATTGAAAGCAGATAATGACCCAGTAAAATCATGTTCAGAGGAGGAATGCCACGCTTTCCCTGTAATATCTGTATCACTGTTAAATACAAAACCTTCAAAGATGCATCCTGGGGGCAAGGATTGGTGGACAGTCACCCAAAATTGCTGGTTACAGACAGAAAACCATGATTTCTCCAAAGTGACATATTACTGTGGTAGCTGCTCTCAATCAAAAGCCAACCATCATCTGCATGCATTACAAACAACATTAAATACTCGATCCATGTGTTTTTAACACACAACTTGGTACAAACCACACATTTCAGTGGCTGTAGGCATTTCACATTGACATGAATGCAACGGAGTCACCAAGCAAAAGGGGAATTTTTACCCCATCCTGGTTCATATGATGTTGATAGCCCAGCCAAACATAAGCAGGAAATCAGTTCTGCCAGAATGACATGCACAGCCCCACAGAAACATCGTATTTCTTGGTTTAGGCGTAGGACACAAGACTGCTTTCTAAAGACGTTAACAATAAATAAGCATTGGGAGGGATGGACTGATGCAGAGAAGAGAGAACCCTTTCAGACTGGCTGTGGGGTGCAAATTAAGGGGTAGATTAAGCTCTCTCTGTTTCAATTTCTCTACTCAAGTATCCTAAGTCTTTTTCCCCAGCATGCTTTGTACTTAAAGTGCCGTAAATACACATTCTTCTTTGTACTTTACCTAAACTCAGTTTAACTGAAGTTTCATTTCATTTCAACTCTTAGTCAAGGTTGAGGGAAAATAAATATCCTGGTGCTGGAGAATCTCCAAAGCGTCCAGATGCCCAAACCACTTCTTGCAGTTTTACTTTGGTAGATATTGCTGACACCATTATGAGAATATTTTGACAGTATTATTTGACAGCTGAATATGACAGAATTAAAAGAAGAGAAAGCCACTCCAGTGGTAAAGTGGAAGCTTTCTGACATGTGACAAGGTCCCTGGAGAACCAAGTGCTTGCCAGGGAATGAAAACCACACAGCAACATTGAGAAAAAAAAGCAGAATATGTACCCTTCCCCATCAATCATACCTGCTCCCTAAAAGGGAGATAGATCTCTTCATTGACTAAACAAGACAAACACGTACCTTTCAGCAGCCATGCAGATTTTGCCAAAGTTTCTGTAAAATAGCTTTTTAATGGAAAAAGTTACCTGGGTTTTTGTAGATGCTAAGCACATCCTTGAAATAATGAGGTAAGAATCTTTCTAATAAAAGCAGCACATCCTCCAACTCCTCCAGAATGCCCACAAGTAGAAAATTCTCATTAACGTTCAGCTTTGCTCTTTCAAGGGCCCATTCACCAGGCTCCCTGCATGAAATTAAGAGAGGGAGAGAAGTGAGAAAAAAAGTGTTTAAATACGTACTTATTTCAGAAATTCAAGCCCAGAACATAACTGAATCAAAAAATATTCCGTGCTGCACTTCCAACAGAACATAAGAAGCCCCTACCAAACCCGAGTGGCTTACTGAGCTTTCCTGTACATATAGAATTGGTTTGGCGTGTTAAAACATGATCACATTAGGACATTAAGAAATGTGTGGAAATACTCTGTTCTGAAGACATCTCTCACCAAGTTGTTCATACACTCAAACTTGTGAACTCCTCTATTTCAACTCAGAAGCATGACCCATCTCATGGGAGGATGACTGCCCTAGGTGATGAAGGGTGCTAAGGGGTGGCGGTGTCCCTGAGCCACATCAGGAAAACTGCTGCAAGCGACCACTGCCTTCTGTTACACAGTGAGTACTACACAGTAGGCTACTGGCCTGTTTCCCACTTTGTCCTTCCTTTTAACTTCTGCCAAAGTCTCCAAGAGCTTCCCTTCGCCTTCCATTACCCCTGATGGCCCTGTTGGCTCTGCTACAGATTTCACATTTATTTACTCTGACTGATACTGGGTTTGAAGATCAGCTTAGGGTTATTTTGTCTTTTCCTCCAGTAGGAGAAGTGGCAGGACATCAGTAAAACTTTATGCTTCTTCCTTAGTTTCCTGGAAGCAGAATTTGGTTAGACAAGCATATGAATCAGAAATCACTTAGGCTAATTTATATTAGTTATGTCCTGGAAGTGGCAGTCAGCATTCATTTTGATGCCAGATATAATGCCAGTGTCCCAAATTAAAGGAAACCAGCTTTTTCACTGGGCCCACATGGTATGATGAACACCTGAGTCACATATGCTACCAGAGAGTGGCTGGAGATTGCACCTCTTCTCTGGCTCCATAAAGCTATTGCAAATTCTATGCAATAGTGAATTAAACAATATTTGTCAGAATGTCTTTTGATAATGTTTGGAAAAGCTTATTGTTTTATACTCCTGCTAGAGCAGACTTGGAGTAGGTTTTTCATTTCCTACCATTTTCTGTGCACTGATTCATTTTCTGGAAGAGCAGAGCAGCCTAACAAATCTTACAGGCTTCCTTCTTGCAGCTCCTTGTGAGACTACGAAGTACCTGAAGGAAGGGCATGATAGGAAACCCATCTATAACAAGCTATAAACCAGTACTTCAACATACTGCTTAGGAACCTCGTAGAGCTTTGTGGTGAAAGTACTCAGGTATGTGACTGTTGTTAATGGGATTACTCTTGCACACAAGTTAAATATGCAACCATAAGCATTTGCAAATGAGGCCAAAATACATTAAGAAAAAATGTGTAATGAAAATGAAGTCATGCATCTGTTTTGCTTCTTAATCATAACTTCACTTACGCCAAAAAACTAAAGCAGGATTTTACAGCAAAGATACTTAGAAACTGAGACATAAGACAGAACACTTTTTCACTTGTTATTACTGCTCAAAAAAAGCATGGCTTTTGAAAGAAATTTTTTAAAAACATCTGCAGTTGTTCCACTATGGAAAAGCAGTAACAATAAATAAATAGAATACCTCGAAGCTGAACAAACCTAATAAAGAATATGCTGTCACTAACAATACTGAAGTATTCGAAAACAGGAAGATATTTAAAATCACTGACATATTGTTACATTAAAGTTTACTATGCAGAATCAGTAATACAGCAATATGAGAATAGACACATTAAAAAAGCTAGGTCAATTACAGCAGTATAAGGCTGCACTTTATAAGTTTTAAACACGATTACTATTTCTTACATGGACATAGAAACCTGGAATTCCTCATACGTAGACCTGATACGAGCATCTAAGCACAGCTAAAACATGTATTACAGAATTACAGTGCAGTAAAATGAGGAACGATCACACACAGTCACTGGAATTCTCACCTTGCCAACCCAGAAATTTCCACATAAATACCTCCAGATTTGATGAATTATTCAAGTATTACATCAAGAAAAAAAGAACAGAACTACCTTTGCATTCCCCTCCTTACACCAACATATATGCATGCAGTTGCCACATGCAGCGCTACATCGTACTTATACTTTTCTCTTCAAGTAACTGTTGCCTCTCTATTACCAGCCTCTGACAAAATGCTGGCAATAGCTATTGCTGAACAAATTGGGATATCTTGTACATGTTTACCTGCATCTTGGATGCTGTCCACAGAAATATGGTATGATGTAAAATAACCTGGGATTGGAACATTCAGGGTAGTTTTCAAGGATACATACATTAATGTCCTGTGGGGGAGGAAAGGAAAAAAATTAAGGAAAGAAAGAGAGGTCAAATACTGCATTTTCCTTTCTCTATTAACCAGTGTTTTCTTTATCTCATATTTTTTACAGTCATCTCGGAGTCAAAGAACTGTGCTGAGGTTATCCCACATACCTTAAAAGTAATGTACTAGTCAATATATCTACTTCTAAACATCATTAGAAATATTCAGGAGGGAAAAAAAAATATGAAAACCCACATATTTTTTTTTTTTCTACAAAGAACACAATTATTATATTGAGGTTTCCCCATGATTCAAAGCGGGGCACCTGGATCAACTTTCATATTGAGTTATATTTAAAATATTCAGAATATTATTTTCAGACACTTCTTTCTTCTAAATACACCCGGGGGAAAATTCTGAAGTAGCCAGAATAAATCAAATTGAGACAACAATTTTTTAATTTTTTTTTTCCCATTCTCCTGCATTCAATGACTGGAGTGATCAAACATCAGCTGTAATTTCCCCAGCTCGCTCTTGATAGAAAAACATACATCACTTTTGATTAGAATTCTGTTCGTTCATCAGATGTTCAGAATTGAGCCTGTTGTGTAAACCCCCACTGAGAAAAGCATTTATTAGAAAGTATTTGTCATTTTCCTGATTTATTGTTCATCTAATGAGGAGCTATTTATCATTTTTCAAAGACTAGGCATAGCTACTGAACCCTGAGGAACTGTATTCCATTTCTAGCTTTACCATAGTGCAGTAATAAGTGTACCCGCAAGCAAACTGAATTCCACTACCCTTATCTAGTCTAATAGACCCTTACTCTGCAAGCAGACCCACTGACTGCAAAGAGATGTACAGGACAAAGAATGAAAATGCCAGACAAAATAAGAGAAAATGAAAGGATCTCATCTTTGCAAAACCTTCTTTCTTATTTAAAGATGTGTGTCTTCATAATGCAATAAGTTTGATGTGCATCAGTATCAAACCAATGACTAATCAATCCATTCTTCATCAGTAAGTAAAATGCGATAGACAACACACCCTCTGGAAGACAGCAGTGCTCAGCAGCACAGGAGACATGGAGATCATCCACTGCTCTCCCGGGGCAGCATGGGGTACAAGCCTCCAGCCGCAGCATCTGCTTCCGAGATCTCAGCGCAGAAAAGCTCTTACCAGAACTTCAGCCCTCATGCCTAACTTCACTAGTGACACATTTGGGTCTGTAAGCCTTTTAAAGCACACTCCTATTTCCTGCTCTGTCTTACATGTATGCATATCAGATTTTACAAGTACATTAGAAGATCCTGGGCTGGGAAGTAAATCATATGGTGAGGAACCATCAAAGACAGCAACATAAAAATTGCCAAGTGGAATATGAACAACCCGATCTCCCTTCTCCCCCCAGTGTATTCAAACATACTGATAAGGGCTTGCCTTAAATACATGAGAAAATTCATGGTCAAGGCTTGAATTTTGGCATTCAAGCCTCTAACCTGAAACTAACCAGCCTCCCATTCTCAGTCCTATGAATATTACTGAGAAACCTACTGGTGGCACAGGGAATGTGTCCCTCCTATCATATAAAGAATTTTAAAATAGCAGTTCTTTAAGGTTTATTGTGCTTTTACTATAGACACCATCAGACATGTTTTCAGGGATGCTTTTAGCTCTTACTGATATGGTTTAGTAGTGAACTTGCCAGTCCTGGGGTAAAGGTTGGACTTGATGATCTTAAAAGTCTTTTTACAACCTCGGTGATTCTATGGTTCTATACTTTCAGTTTCCACAAGAACCTGCAGAGACCTGCAATGAATTCATAAATTGATTGGACTTTTAAAAAATCTGAAATATTGTCCTGAGAATACCGAAAAACATGTTCAAGCCAGCTTGTACTCGATTGATGGATTAACTGAAAGGCAGAAACACCTACATAAGATGTAAAATTCATTAGTAACACCCAGCCAAGAACCATTCATCTTTTCTCTGAAAAGAGCAAACTTTAAAGTATTTTTTGTAGAACAATATCAATTTACTTAAGTTAATGTCTATAACTCACAGCAAATACTGTACCATTTACAAAAATAGGCGACCTTAGCTTTGAGAGATTTTTTTCCCCTCCTAATATAAAATCTTAAGGATACTGGAGGAAATAAGAAGAGCTTTTTTGTCCACTAGAATTAACACCTAAGTTTTTCAAAATAAGAAATAATTACTTGGCTTCAGAGCATTCCCTATTTCTTGATCTTCAGTGTCCCAACCATAAACTATATAACCACCAGGTTCCACCATGGATGTACAGCAATTATAAGTATGCCTAAAAATTTAAAATTAAGAATCATAAGTCAAATAAAGACATCCCTTACAGGTATATTTCCATGAACCATCCCTTATCTATGGGAAGCCATAAAAACAGCCTTTCTCTCACAACCAAAATGAAAAATATGACATGTTGTCTTTCCATGCCCTGCCCTTGTGGGATACTGCAGCTCCTGTGAAGCCAGGAGACTGTGCTTACAGCCCAGCCATGGTGCATGCTCTTACTTCAGTCTGAAGGATGTAGATGTGAAGCTGAGGTGTGTCATGAAGGCTACAGAGGAAACAGCGACCTAAATAAATACCTTTCAAGTTTCCATAATGGGAAAAGAAATGAAACGACACGGAAAACCAGCAAGTGAGCCCAGCCCAGGGTGACATCTGCTCACAAGGTTGTTCTTCATACGCCACTACAGTCAGTGCTGCAGTCTAGTCCTCACCATTACCAGCCAAGGAAAATCCTCCTGCTCTGCTGAAAGCCCCCGAGAATCCTCTCATGCCTTGTAAACTGTTTTCTCACATACTTGCTTGGTGCTTGTAAAGAGGTCAAACTGACCGCTACATCCTGAGGACAACGTTGCATCATATGAACTAAATACAACCACACTGAAAAAAGAAATATAAAGCCCGCCAATGGATTGCACAGAGTGACGGGGAAATAAATGGAAACATCACAGCTCAGAAAAGGGCTCAGGAGTGTAAATATGGAAAAGCACAACGTTCTACTTTGTAAGGCTGCAGAAAGACACTGGAAAATCAAGGTATAGTTGGCACTAAGGTTTTCAAATATAAATGCAACATGACTTACTAAATCTTATTTCGGAGCACAAATTATTTATATATTTTTTATGGAAAGTAAACTATAATGCAACACATTTTTGACCCTAATTAGAGGTGATTTTGCTTCACTAGGTGACATTTAACGTTTCAATTCAATCTGAATCAAGTATTAGGGTAACACACAACAGCAAGATGACCTAATTTCTTTAAAATTCTGGAGGGATTTGATACTTGTTTGTGCATCTATGCTAACGGCACTGGCAGCAGATGGCTGTGAGGTGGGCATCACCTCCCAGACCAGCACTGCTAACACAGACGAAGCCAAGTGGCTCCCAGCCCATGTTGTTGTAGCACTGAGCCCCTCCAAGCAGGGCTACCGTGTGGGGTGATTTGTGCCAAACTGGGTGGGATGATGACCCTCTAGAAATGACAACAACCTGGACAAGTCTATTGGACACCAGTGGAAGGCTGCAGAGTGAGCAATTGACACTTTGGGGAGAAGCTCCATGAGATGGCAGAGATGGTCTAGCTAACCAAAACATGGGTTTCTATCCCCAAACAACCCCCTGCACCAGCTGTGATTGCTCCTTCACTCCTGTGCAGGCTCTACCAGCTCAGAAAGTAACAGAAATCCTTTTCTTTCCCTCCATCTCTTTCTGGTCTTTTACCAGAGTGAACAAAGCAGAGTTTGCTCAGGAAAATTCCACCCCAGCACTCCAACTGCACAGGCCACGTCCCCCTCCAAGCGATGCAAGTGACATTTAATGCTATTGTAACAACTGAGAAAGAGTCACCAGAGCATGTGGCCATTTCACCCCAGCACCGACTGTTCCCCGATGCCCAAATTCTGCCAACTTTGCAAGAGCCACTCATGCTCCCAGCATCGTCGTCCATAGCACCATGAAATCCATAGATGCCAGGGATTTCTCTCTTCTTAGCTACCTGGTAGATCTCATGTAGTTACTGACAAGATAGCAGAGGTGGACCTCGTGTTTCACTCTGAAGAGGATCAAAACTGCTGCAAAAGAGGACTATAGCTGTAAGAGATATCCAGGCTAATCCTCTGGTGGGTCCACAGAACAGATTAAGGTCTGCCCTGTGAAGACAGATGTTACAGCAGATGGAGGCCAGTGACAGGATTTTGAGAACTGGAGCATGGAACAGGGAAGTGCCTGGAGCACCAAGTAGGTCAAACTGTGTTCCCTGAAGACAACCTCTTCTAGCTGGCTTTAACCATCACTTTCCTGCTTAAAAGTCAAGAGGCAGGCTGCTTTACAATAAACGAACTGTACATTTGAAAGCTGAGCTTAAGATTTACAATTTAGAATTAGTTTTCAGTCACAGATAATACTTCTTTAAACTCTTTCTCACTTAGCGCATCTGCTTTTGGAGAGAGACACTTCTGAACACTTTTGTACAGCTCTTGAAAGGCCGCACAGACGTTTCACACCTCTGTGGGTATGCAAGTTCCTTTCCTTTGCATATTTTTCAGGAGTTGAAATATGCTCTAAGAAAAAAAAAAAAAAAAATCCTTGATCTCTTTAATTCCTAGGAAACCCTCATGATCATTTCAACTGCTCTTTGCCTTCAGCTAGATCAAGTGTTTGACAAAAAGCAGAAGCAAAAGCAACTGGAGAACAAAGAGAAGAGCCCTCTCATCACCCATACTGTCCTGTAAAACAATGTGCTCTGATCAATATGTTGGACTTTTCCCTCAAAAATAATTTCTCACTTATTATCTGGAAACAGATTCTCTTCCCTTCTTCTCTTTTCCAATTTTTCAGATGCTTCCTACAACCACCACTTCTGTAAGCAAATCATTAGTTAACCATGTGCTTTGGCACATGGGGATGTTTACCTACAAACTACAATAAAGTCAACCACTTGCAGACGACTGGCATTTGTGGCAAGAGAACAGAA